TTATTATTATTATTATTATTATTATTATTATTATTATTATTATTATTATTATTATTATTATATTCTCAGAAGAGGGAAAACAGAAACCTTAAATAAAAAATATGAAGGGATTTCAGGTTGTTTATGATTAAAATTCTAGAACTAAAATTTAATGGTTCAATTAATGTTTTTTATTTGTCATTTCACAGCTGGATGTATTGGACAGATTGGGAAGAAGATGAAATAGATGATAGTATGGGAAGAATTGAGAAAGCATGGATGGATGGTAACAACCGTCAAATATTTGTGACATTAAAGATGTTGTGGCCAAATGGATTAACTCTGGATTATCAAAATAATATATTATACTGGTGTGATGCCTATTATGATCATATTGAAAGAATATATCTGAATGGAAGTGACCGTAAGGTAAAAGAATATATAATACTCCCCCCCCCCCCCCCCCAGATTTTCTGTTTAGTGAATTATCTTGCCACTTTGTTTATTCCCCTTTCTCTTTAAGGCTGCCTATTGATTATCTTGTGGAAGTTCCCAGTCTAAGCACCATTGGGTTATTTTGTGGGGGGAGGGAGGGAGGGGGGGAAGAAGGAAGGAAGGAAGGGAGGGAGGGAGGGAGGGTAAAAAGGTTTTTGAAATCCTTGTTATATTGTAGATTAGATCAAGATATACAAATTCATGCTAAGTCTCATATGAGCGCTTACTAATTATCTTAATATATTTGGCCATAGTAGTACATGACATCATATATCAGCATTTTTAGGAATTTCGTAAAAAATGTTTCACATGAATATGCACACTCATTCAGTAGAGTGTAAGGAAGATGGTCCTGAAAAAGATAGGTAAAAGCCATTACTAAATTGATGATGAAAAAAAAAACCTTAGGCCTATAAGAAGGAGACAATGTGTGGAAGAAATTTAAATAAACACCTTCCTAATTCACTTGGGTATAAGAAAGGGAAAAGGTACAGCACAATCAACCTTGCAAGATTCTACTATTATAGCCATTCTCAGTAAAAGTAGTTTCAGTTTTTGTTTCAGAAGCTGATTCCTGGTCTGATTTATTTAGTAGAGTTGATATGTACCCACACACAAATTTACATGTACTATAAGACAATTAATGTATGAATTTTTCTATATTTTTTTTTACTATCCATATGATTAGATAGAAAAAATGATATGTGAGAGATCATTTGGCTTTCTGTATTTCAAATTTGTCTTATGCTTTTTGTTGTTTTCACATGGTGAGTAAAAGTAATATGTTTATTTCATATTGGACCAAGTCTCTATCTGCATGGCCAAATCATATTATACAGGAAAAAAACCTAGTCTCAAGTGTTACAGTTTTATTTAGCCTGGAATTTAACAATTCCTATAAAATTGATGGTGATATTTTTACACAGTTAATAGTCTGAAATATATTTCATGATGTTTATTTTGTATTTATTCTACTTTTAATTATGAACATTGCATAGATATGCTTTGTATAATTGCCAATGTTGAGATTTTTTTTGTCTGTGTGCGCTGAATTTAGATACAGCTAGAACTGTTAGAATGATAGTTGCAATAACTTGTGAAAAAACTGATTTTACTACATTGTACCAAACCCAACTTGGACATCTGTTATCTATCTTCCTTCTAGAATTAGTGATCCAAATCATTACCAAATCATCAGAGCTGGTTTCTTGGCTTACCAATAATAGAAAATTAGGTAATCATGTACCTCAAGGTCTAGCCAAGGCATCACTTACTATTTTTATTTTGGAGGATTTAGTGCTAGACATAGAACTCTCTCTCTCTCCACCCACCCACCTAAACCCACAGATTCATTCACATACACACACTCTCTCTCTCTCTCTCTAAACTGTGAATAGGACTGCCCATGATTGAACATCCTTACTCAAAGTAATGGAAGACAATGATAGTTTTGATCTAATAGACCTAAAATCCCAGTTTATGGAAGGTCAACATAAAGAAATTGTCTAAAAAGAGAATGCATGAGTTTTACATATTGCAGTTTCTTTTTGTTTAATTTCATACAGAAAAAGCACATCTTTTCCCATCCCTAAATTAATCTCTGAACAATTGGATGAAATTAAGCAATGTTTTGTGTCTTTATGGTCAACTAGTCCATTGAATTTGTACAAATGGTTTTCCAGTACGTTTTTCTAAGGTGTAACAAAATTAATCACTACCTATTAAGCTTAGTAATCTAAGTCTATATGTATACTATGTTGGTTTGGATTTTTGTTAGAAAAATGTAATTAGAAAGAATAGAGAACTCTTAATAATTAATAAGATATTTGAGAGGAATGTATAAGCCTTAGATATACAGTAAATCTGCTAAGGATGAAATGGAATATTTTTTCTTTCTCCCCAAGCTTTAAAAATCTGACAAAATTAGGAAATAGGTTTATTATCTGAAGATATTTAAATTGGTGCTTTCGTGATTGGATTTAGTGATTTTTTTCTGTAAAGAAAACTTTAAATATAGTTGCACACACATAAAATCAAATATTCACATGTTTCTTAATTTCTGATTAAATGTTAAATTATGTAATGATATATTGTATGCTACCAATATCAATCAATTGCAGGTGATCTACAGTGGAAAAGAATTGAATCATCCATTTGGTCTATCACATCATAGAAATTATATTTTCTGGACAGATTATATGAATGGGTCTATTTTCCAACTGGATTTGATATCTAGAAATGTGACACTTCTGAAAAGTGAGAGATCCCCTCTCTTTGGGTTGCAGATTTATGATCCCCAGAAGCAACAAGGTATTGAAAATAACATTTCCTGCATTCACACCATGTAGCACTTAAATAATTGTAGTTATAGAAAGAGTAAACGTTCAACATTGCCTCAGACTTTCTCATCAATCTGCTGTGAACACACTAATCTATTAGATGTGAAATTAATTCTAAGTACTAAATCAGTGCAGATGTGTAAAATATATTTAGTGAAAGATAATTACCACTTGTCATCAATGAAATAAACATGGGTAACGTTTTGAAAAAGATTTTGCAGATCTGTTGATGTAGTGATGCATATAAATCATCCCTTAAAATCATAAAATAAGTATATCTCCCACATCTGCTGCTGCTGCTACTGCTTTGGAAGTTACCTCTAGCTGTTCTACATGTGTGAACTTTTGAGTTAATCCTCAACATCATGTATTACAATGTTTGTCAACATCTGAGACAGCGTGCTTTTCAAAGTACCCACAACGTGCTTTTTCGGAGGTGCCACATACATGCAGGGGAAGGGAGATGCATGAGGCCACAGATGGGTGTTGGGTGATGAGACTCATGCTGAGAGAGGAGCCAGGAGAGCAAGCCAGCTGTGGTTGGTTCAGAAGCCATCCAGGCCTGAAGAGTACTTGCTGGAGTCAGCCAGAGAGCAACCGGGCTTGAAGAGTGCTTTCTGGACACGGGCCAAAAAAGTACTTGCAGGAGCCAGCTACTAGCAACCAGGAACAGGAGGGCGGGGCATGCTGGGTCTGTATAGCTAGCTGGCTAGCAGAAGCCAGTAATGCTGGCTTTAGAGATCCTTTTACCTTGTATTGTTCACCATGTGCCAAGCTGAGACTCCAGTAAAGAGACCCATTCTGCTCACAGTGTGGCCTCTTCTTTTGCTGGCTTGGTTTGGAACCGTGACATTGTTTTTAATAGAAATTTCATAAAACTAATTTTACAGAATTTGGCCATTAATTATGGTTGTTATTGTTATTGTTGTTGTTTACGATATCAACTATTCACTGAACATCGTCACACTAGTTGTTTTATTTCCCAGAACAGGAAGTCAAGATATAAATCAAACAATAAATAAATCTCAATATTTTTCTCAATAAAGAGTATGAAAATGTATGAATTTTCTAAAAATCTTCTGTAGCTAACAGAAAATTTACAAAAGAAAATTTACAAAAACAAATGATGGCAAGACTTAAGAAAAACTTAAGAAAATCCTAAAATTAGCCTGGTGAGGTATACAATTGGATCTGTGGTCCCTGGTGCTCTCTGAGCTTGGCTGTTGGTTTTTTTTTGGGGGGGGGGGGGTGTTAGATGTTTCATTATCCAAACTTGGTACAGTAATGATGTTATTTAGTTTGGAAATATTTGCAAGAAAATAACCAAGCTCAGAGAGCACCAAGGATTTCACAGTACAACTCTGGACTATAAATATTCTCCTTTATTAGAATTGAGTCAGTCTGGAATGGGAATTATAGATTGAATATAATCTGCTAGATCATTAGTAGTGAGACTTATTCAGCGGAATTCCCTTTTCAGAAAAATATAAAACTTTCTTTAATCTCTTACAGTCAGAATATTGAGTGTTGTTAGTTTGGATAACTTTCACATACTGAAAAAAATAGTGCTTTACTGCACTTAGTCTTCAAATTTACAGTACCTGTTGCTTTTTAGATCTGATTGTTATTTTATTTTATATTTATTGGGCTGTATATCCATATAATGATAATTACAGATGTCACTTTAGTTACAGCCAACCGTTCAAAAACATTGGCTTTTTATTTTTGTATTTTCTCTTATTTCTTTGGTTTGTTAATACAATATTCATCAGTATATAAAATATTGATATAAAGGTATATATATTGAGAATGAGTCAAAGGCTTAAAATACTGAGTTGTTTTTTTCTGTACTATCTAAAGAATTTTAAAAATAGACTGGAATTTAGTTGGTTGCAGTCATGAAGATTTTTTACACAATGCCTTTGGTTCTCCAATTGGCAGGATGATTGACCTCATTTATTTCCTTCTTTTCCTGCAATCCCCAAGAAGCTTATTTTATTTTAGTATTATTTTTTTATGTGAATGTGTGTTGGAAGGAAGGGCATCTTGTCTAAGAGTTAAAACAAACCAACCCAATCCCCACAATACTAGTGGTTTTTTTTAGTAATGAATGTGATACAGGTCCCTCGTTCAATGAACATAGAATTTAATTTTAGATAGAACATGGGAAACATTATTGGGATGGCAGAAAGATAGATACAAAAGTAAAGCAAAATTATCAAGGGATGAATGTAAGCAAGTATACGTACATGCACTTGTGTCTCACACTGATCATGTTTGAGATACAATAGTAGCAATATATACATGAATATGAAAACGCAATCAGTGTTGCTTAAAAACTATTATGAAGCTTCTGATAGTCATATTGATTCTAAGGCTAAGTAATAAAGTTGAATCAATATGGATATACCTAGCAGCTGTGCTTCACACTAATAGTCAATGGTGAATGGAACAATCTAAATTAAGTCTTATTGACACAGTGCTGAGTAGCTAAATAGTTAAGCTAAATAGTATTAAGGAGCTTGTAAATATCTAAGGTCTCTCCCAACATTTGGTTTATGGAATTAATTGGGCAAGTTCCAAAACAATGAGAAAGGCTTTCAGTCAGGCTTATCTATTCTGTCAAACTAATACTAGACCTGCTTCTGAACTTTCACTGATGCTCTTGAAATATTCTTTCTCAGGGGACAAAAAAGAAAAACATTATTGGATTTGGCCTGAATATTGTGACTTACATGTATGAAAGATTGTTCTTCAAATTCCTTAGATGTTCTAAGAACAGAACAGAAACGTCAATTTCAAATCTATAAAATAGATTCAGGTAGAATGTAGTGAAAATACTAGCAACATACAGTACATAATTTTTAAAAAACCATAGATGTTGATGGCATTTCTGTGTATGTCTCTGCACTATAAACTCTCAACGAAGGCAGGCAATAATACATTGCATTTTCCATGTTGCACTACATATTTAAGAAGTCAATTGTCCTCCATTTTTCAAATATTCTATCATACTTAAAATGATAAAAAGTGAACCAAGAATGTAAATGAATCAGCAATGCATTCCATTTTCCTTGATATATTTGCTTATTTATTTATTTATGCATGCTATATGATGGTATGCTTGCATCAATTCATCTTTGGAAATGCCTCAGCAGCTGCAGGCAGAAGGAGGGTGTATTGAGGCCTGAAAATTTGATCTTCTTGCTTAATCAACCTGTGAATAGAATAGAATAGAATAGAATAGAATAGAATAGAATAGAATAGTTGGAAGGGACTTTGGAGGTCTTCTAGTCCAACTCCCTGCCTAGGCAGGAAACCCTACACCACTTCAGACAAATGGTTATCCAACATCTTTTTAAAAACTTCCAGTATTGGAGCTTTCACAAGTTCTGGAGGCCAGTTGTTCCACTGATTAATTGTTCTAACTGTCAAGAAATTTCTCCTTAGTTCTAAGTTGCTTCTCTCCTTGATTAGTTTCCAACCATTGCTTCTTGTCCTGTCCTTAGGTGCTTTGGAGAATAGCTTGACTTCCTCTTCTTTGTGGCAGCCTCTGAGATATTGGAACACTGCTATCATGTCTCCTCTAGTCGTTCTTTTCATCAAATTCTTTTCATCAAATGATTCCACTGAAATCTCTATGAAGTATAAACCAACTCTTTCAACCTGTCCCGTTGGTCCTTATAACAAAGTTTAGTTAGATTTGTTTGTCTGTTTTAAAAAAGAAATATATTTGTACAAAATGTGATATGTCTTTCTGATCATGGACAAAGAAGAAGGTTGCGGTTCAAATAAAATAAATAAGTTTGATTCATAAAGTGTTTCCTTGTGAATTACAAGTGTAAAAGATAAGACTGTAGGAAAGTACACTGATCCAAACCGTATGTCTGTAGAGAATTTTCTCATGTTTTTGTACCCACCTTTTCATCATGTTGCTTGAGATATTTTTATTTAAGGTTGATTTTTTTTTGTTTTAATTCCAGGTGACAACGCATGCCGTATTAATAATGGAGGCTGTGGTACCCTGTGTTTAGCGATACCTGGAGGCAGAATGTGTACTTGTGCCGATAATCATTATTTGGAGGAAAACAGTACAACCTGCAAGTGTATGATCTTTATGAGAAAATTTTATATTTCTTCTGTAGGAAAGATAGAGAATAACTATACAATATAAAAAGGGCAGGATTCACAAGCATCAAGCAGATAAAAAGCCCAGCATTTTGCATTAAGCGGCTTTCATTCTCTTGGGATTTCATATGATGTAAAGGAAATCCTTCTGAGAAATGTAATAGAAATTCCGAATGCCAATTACTTAATTACTTATAGATGAGAAATTCACATGTGTATAAAACTTTTTTTTTACAAAGAATCTTTAAAAAAAAATAGTGGAAGGCTGAAAAAGCTTTCTTGCTCTGCTTATAACATTACCACAATCCTTCTGCTCACCTCCAGCATTCTTCCACTTGTAATGAGAAGGTAAAAAGGATTGAGGTAGAGAAGCAACTGGGGCACCAGCCAGAGTTGTATAAAGACATCCTGGACACTGCCTTTTTCTTCCCATTAAGTAATAGCAATTAATCTAGGAGACTCCCAAAGTTGCGGACGTCATGCTTTAGGGCAAACACAGTAAGACACAACAGAACCAACAAAACTTGTGATGGGTGAACCCCACCTTACTAGATACATAGTGTAATATAAAATGAAGATTAAATTGCCTCAATTGTAATTTAAGTTAGATAATCTGACCTAAAAAAAGAGAAAAGCAGTATTGCTTCCTTTTCCTTTTCTTTTCAAAAGCTAAAGTTGTCAGTGTGTCCTTCAGAGCTAGATTTATTTAAACAGGATTATTGTGAAAGGATCAGGCTAGAAAGTAGAATAAAGTGAGTTTTTACTCCTACCTCAAAGTCAAAGTCATTTTGGGCAAGTTAATCTCCAGCCCTAGGAAGGAAGCAATAGAAAGGCAAACTATAGGAATCTATCCAGGCAGCTGCCTGAAGTAAAAAATGACTTGAAGAGATCCCTTTCCCCTTTCCTTATTTTTTACACAACAGCATGGCCTTATTGAGACTGTTTCTCTCTTGGCTTGTAAATATGTTGTGAAGAAAAGATAATAATGTCTAACTGTTGACATACTCACTATTTCATTGATGCTTGTTAACTCCTCTTTGTGATGTAAGTTTTTCAGTCATCATTAGCTGGACTCAGTGAGATCCAAAAATAGCTGTTTACATATGAACAAGTTTCTTAAGGATTTTCTTCCTACATATTTTTAAAAAGATAGTTGAAGTGTTTCCCACCCCCCTTCACTTTGGATACAATCTAACGAGCATCTGCCTGGTAAATGCTCAGGTCCATCCAGTCTCATTGACTCTACCCAAATTAAGGGATTAGAGCAGGGATTTCAAACTGGCGGCCCATAGGCTGGATGCAGCAAGCACAGGCCACGCCCATCCCAGCTCTGCGAAGGGAAAAAAATGTCATGATACGTCACATGATGGCAACATGACACCGCGAGTTTGACACCCGTGGATTACAGAGTCATAAAAAGGGAGTTTATTTGGGATACAATCTTCCCAATATCTTAAAATTTCCATGAAATTTGTGCACATGTAAAATAAATAATAAACATACCTATAATTTTAGCCTTTTTGATTTTATATTTTTATGATCTATACAGTTAAACACAAATTGACCTATTTGTCCCATGCAATATTAACAAGTCATTATTTTATACATAACAATGTGAAGTCACAGCTGCCAATTCTTTATCTGGTTTTGGCCTTCATATGCATCATATTCTTTTCAAGAAACCTGGGATATCATAGCATACTGCATAAATACTTCCAAAAATGCCTGTAGAAAATAACAAAAATAATGATAAACCATGTTTATATTATTGCCCACAAAACTACAATGATGTGTCTGCGTCCTTACCAGAAGAGCTCAACTTGAGAGCATCTTTACTTTTATCATATGTGTTAATTATTGGATGAATCAGTACGTATCTTAGAGACCACCACATTTTGTAATGTATGTAAAATGGCACAAATGGTAACATGAATAAAGAAAAAACATTCCCTTTAATATCTTAGTAATGCAAATAAGTTTGCTAATGTGAAACAAATTTAAAGATATGTTGCTGCATAAGTTACTTTAAAACCAAACTAAACTGAAGATGAAATACCAGATACATGATTTAGTCAAAATATTTATTTTTAATTTGAGGAACATACTTTATAACTTGTTCTTCAATGTACAAGTAATTATAATATTAATATTTCTCATGTTCTTGAATAGCAGATTGATTGGTCCAATTTATATGGATGCCATATGCCTTTAAAAAAACCTACTGGTGGAGGGCAAGGCTGGCGTCGCGGTCATATAACGTAAGATCTTGAAGATCCAAGATTGCCGCCGATATCTTTGTTGCTGGACGGTCCTCCTGGACCTAAACCGTCCCAAAGAGACGGTGAAAGTAAAGAGCACATCCTGCCGATCCCAGGGACACCGCAAAGTCCCTGGTAGATCCAGGAGAAGCTCTTTTTGCCGGCAGCAAAGAGGCAGCCATTAAAGCTGCTGAAGCTGGGACAGCTCCAAAACGGAAGGGAACGGAAAGAGAAAGTGTGTCGGTTAGGTGAGAGGTTTTTTTTTTTTTACTTTATGATTAGAGAGAACACCCTAAGAAAAAGAAAGAATTTGTAAAATTGAAGACAGAAGTGGTTAAACAGTGATTTAAAACGAAGTCAAAATTAGTGGGGTTTTTTTTTACTGCTGGATTGTTTATGCTTCTATACTTTGAAAAAAACCTACTGGTGACCACCATCACCAACACCAAAAGTGAATGCTTCATTAAAATAAAACAAAAACAAAGCAAACTGAGGTCTAATACAATGTTCACCATCACCAATCGCTTATACTAGCGCTCCCACAAGTGTGGGCATAAAATATCATTAATATCCTGGTCTCAGTGCCAAAGGGAAGAACATGCATTAACAGGTCTGACAATGCTGGTATGTTTATGGAGATTCTCAGGTCATGGTTGTCCCAAAAGTGCTTTTTCAAGAGGTAACTGGATTTTCTGGTTTTTCTTTGAAGACATTTTGCTTCTCATCCAAGAAGCTTCTTCAACTGTGACTGGATGGTAGGGAATCGAAGGATTTATACTCCTTGCAGACAGCTGGTCATTTGCATTCTTTCAGAGAATAGTTAAGGCCACCTGGAGGTTTATCTGTGTCATATTCTGAAGTAATTCTGTGTAACCCTTCAAGAAAATAGCAATAGTTTGACAAAAGTTTAACCTGATAGGAAAATGTTACCTAATACAGGTAGTCCTCAACTTATGTCCACAACTGAGCCCAAGATTTATGTTGCTAACTGAAAAAAATGTTGACTTTTGCCCCATTTTATGACTTTTTTTGCCATATTTGTCAAATGAATCACTGCAGTTGTTAAATTAGTAACATGGTTGTTAAGTGAATCTGGCTTCTCCATTGACTTTGCTTGTCAGAAGATTGCAAAAGGTGATCACATGACGTGGGACACTACAGTCATCATTGTGAATCAGTTGTCAAGCATCCAAATGTAAATCACGTGACCATCAGGATGCTGCAAAAGTCATAGGTGTGAAAAATGATCATGTCACTTTTTAAAGTGCCATTATAATTTTGAACGGTCACTAAGCAAACTGTTGAAAGTCGAGGCCTACATGGACATAAACAAATAAGTAAAAACAAAACAAAAAAGATAGCACTGAAAACAGTTAAATAAGTCAGCTATATTTGTTTACAGAGAGCACCAAATAAAACTATTTTGAATATGGAATATTTTCTAAGAATTGAAATATTTAACAATCTTCATTGGAAAAAAAATTAGGCTTCCATTAACACTCATGTGTCTTATTTGTATCTTTGTCCCTTTAGTTAATTCTGAAGAAGTATTACCTAAGTTATGCAAAGTGGGTGAATTTCAATGCAGGAACAAACACTGCATCCAAGATAGCTGGCAATGTGATGGTGATGATGATTGCCTGGATGGCTCTGATGAACATTCAGACATTTGTTGTATGTATCTGTGAATAATATGATCTATAGTTTCTATTTGTTTCAGTTGTTGTTATGAGAGTTTAGATATAATGTACTCAAAAATGTAAACCTCTAAAGGAAATTAAAATAAAATAAACATGAAAATAAATCATGTAATTATTGGGCTATATAGACGTGCATTAGCTTTATATTCTACTGGAAGAGTATTGCTTCAGAGCATTAATAATGCCAGTGATTTAAAAATCTAATGCGTTTGCTTTGATCAAATGCCCTCTGACCTTGTTTTGTTGCTGGGCCAGATGCAAACTCTGCTTGTAAATGAAGATAATCAATTTAAATATATTGAGGATAGAATTACTTGCAGAAAATTGCTAGATATTTCAATGCTTCTTGGTAATATTTTAAGGAGTCTGAAAAATAGACATAGGTTTGGAAAAGGATATTTTTTTTACAGTTTTATAACATGTTAAAATAAGCCAAATGAAATCACAATACAAACAATAGTATTGTGTTTTTCAGATGTTTCAGAAATGGCAATTACTTATGTAACACATGACAGCAACCGTGTGCAGTATCTTTGTTTCCATGAAGTTTTAAACTTTTTCCAACTTTTTAAAAAGTTATAATAAGAAGAGATAGTGTAGTTCCATAGTGTTATATATAAGATCTTCTTTCCCAGAAGATCAAACATACATTTTCAGAACCTTGCTTTTCCTACCCCATGGGGCAAAAAAAAAATCTGCAAACACTTTAACACTCAAGTATTCATCTCCTTTCTCAACCCTTTCAAACTTGCATTTAAATGTTGATTGTGATGCCTGATACTTTGTCACAGTGGTTTGGGGGTATTATGTGATTTTATTGTTTACTTTTATGGAAAAAGTTTTTCAAAATGCGTTTAAATTTAATTGAAATTAAATATTTTAAAATACCATCTGGCCATACTTCTACAGTCCAAATAAAATCCCAATGTTCTCACCAGAGAGCCATGTCAGGTAGATCAGCAAGTCAATATCTCATTCACTCTTAACATACAACTGGATGTCATCCATGTAGAAGATGGTGTCTTAGCATACATTGGTGGTAATTCCACTCTAGAACTTGTATCCATATGAGAGTTATTGTGATTATCTGATAAAGGAGGTTTAAGCCTTTGCAGAACCGCAGTGGAAACAGTACATCACCTTGATACATGGTCCAGTTGATGGCCACTTGTGTGAGCTGTCTTGGATTGACTTCCAGTGTTGTCTTCCAGAATTCCATTCAGTTCTTGAGAAAGCTACTTAGTGGTCTTGTTAACTCTATAGAATACTAAGCATTCCTAGATCCATTTATGCAGGATTGAGTGGTAGTCAACCCAGACTGTCTAGATTTTGAGTTTTAGGTGACTGCTCTATCTGTGAACAATTGGTGTTTTGATCTTCTGGTGTTGTCCTAATGCCTTTCTGAGCTTTGCTCATGTACTTTCCATATGGTCCTGTAACTTGGTGACCATGATGTGTGATAGAACTTTCCATGTTACAGGGAGGAAAATTATTGGCTGATAGTTGGATGGAGTTGATCCCTTGTGGAAGTCTTTTGTGTTCAACTTTGTCCTTCCTTGTGTTAATCAGTCTGGGTGGGAGGATGCTACTAGCAGCTGATTGATCTTTACTGTTAGGCATCCATGCATAAGTTTCTTTAGCCAGTAGATATACATCCACTCTTGGCTAAGTGCTGTCCAGCTCTTCTAGTTCTTGAGCTGCCATTGGATGTCTGCTACTATGATGGTGACTGATTCCTACTCTGAGAGATGTCTATGGTCTGCTCTCAGGTCTTGCAGCCACTTTGCATTGATGTTATATACCTTCTCTTTCTTCCATATGTTCTTCAAGAATATTCAGTTTCTGCTACTGGTGGCTCTGCTGTTACTATGTTATTGCACTGCAGTTGGAAGTACGTCTTATTTATTTATTGAATTTATACTGCCGCCTATTTGCCCATGGCGACTCAAGGCATCTTACAGAATATAAAACCACATTTAAAACAATAAAAAATAACAAAAAGAATTAAATAAATTAATATAGTACAATATAACAAAATCACTCCCCAATTCCCACCCCCTGCCCCAGTGACAGCAGATCACATGAGCTATTTAATGTGCTCCATTCCTCTTTGGGTTCCTTAGGCTCGCTGGCAGAACCAGGTCTTCACGCCTTCCGGAAGAGTATTATAGTGGGAGCCATTCTAATCTCTGGGCGAATGATGTTCCAGAAAGAGGGAGCCACCACAGAGAAGGCCCTTCTTCTGGGTCCTACCAGGTGTATCTCCCTCAGGAATGGGACCCACAACATTCCCTGTCTCCCTGTTCTGATGAGTCAGGTAGATATGACTGGTCACAAGCCATGAAGGACTTTAAAAGTGAAAACCAATATCTTGAATTGCACCCAGAAGCAATTGGCAACCAATGCAGCTCCCGCAGGAGAGGTGGTACATGTGCACACCGGATATGCAGAAAACCATGTGGGCTGCTGCATTTTGCACCAACTGGAGCTTTCGGATGCTCCTCAAGGGTAGCCCCATGTAGAGTGCGTTGCAATAGTCAAGATGGGAAGTGACTAGGGCAGGAGTGAATGAGTAGGGACCGTTGGTCCAGGGAAGGGCATAACTGGTGCACAACCCACAGTTGTGCAAAGGCCTCCTGGCCATGACTGCCACCTGCTCTGAGTCCAGGAAAACCTCTAGATTATCCAAAAGGTTTGTTTGGAGTAGTGCCACCCCATCCAAGACCAAAGGTAGCAATTCCTCTGAGCCAATGAACCCCAAATCCAGAGCTACTCAGTCTTGCAAGAGTTTAGTTTCAACAAGTTGCTCCCCATCCAGCCCCTAACAACCTCCAGGCACTGCGAAAGTGAGGACGTGGCATCACTTAACTCACCATGGACCAAGACATGCAGCTGAGTATCATCAGGATATTGGTGATACCTCAGTATTGGATGATCTCACCCAGAGGCTTCATATAAATGTGGAACAGGAGCGGAAGGAGTACCAAGCCGTGCAGAACTCTGTAAAGCAGTGGGCAAGAGCTGGATCTCTTCCCTCCTATCAACATTGACTGAGAGTGGCCACAGAGAAAGGAAGTGAAACAGGACAGCACAAGGCCTCCCACACTCATTCCCCAAAGCTGCCCCAGGAGAATATCATGGTCAATTGTATCGAAAGCCACCGAGAGGTCAAGTAGGGCAAGGATGGATGCACTACTCCCATCTTGCTCCTGCTAGAGATCATCCAAAAGTGCAACCAATGTCATTTCTGTCCCAAATTGAGGCCTGAATCCTGATTGGTAGGGGTCGAGATAATTTGTTTCATCCAGAAATCTCTGGAGCTGCCGCATGATCACCTTCTCAACAATCTTCCGCAAAAAGGGAAGATTGGAGACAGGTCAGAAATTATCCAACTGGGTGGAATCCAGTGATGGCTTCTTAAGAAGAGGGCAGACTACAGCCTCCTTAAAGTGCTGGGGCACTGCCCCCTTCTGTAGGGAAGCATTACTCACTGCCCGAGTCCACCCACCTGTCACCTCCTGGGAAGCTTTCACAAGCAGGAGGGACATGGGTCTAAAACATAGGTGCTTGGGCGCATACTCCCTAGAATCCTGTCCACTTCCTTGGGGGCAACAAGGTCAAGCTATTCCCAGATAACTTGGCAAGAACCTGCCTCAGGGGCTTCCACTGGACCAGCAACCATGCCGGCATTTAACTGGGAACGAAGATGAGCAATTTTGTCTTCCAGAAAATCTACAAATTCTTCAGTGCGCCCCTTCAGGTGGATCTCAATCTCCTTTTTCCCCAGGAGGAAGTGGCTCACCTTAAAAAGGGTCGCTGGGTGATTATCTGCAGATGCAATTAGTGTGGAGAAGTATTTACACTTCACCACACGAATCACCACGAGGTAGGCCTTAGTAGCAGCTCTTACCCATATTTGATTGAGTTCATCCTCTGTCTTCCACTAGCAGCACTTTAGACGTCTCCTCATGTATTTCATCCCTCTCAGTTTCTCTGTATACCATGGGGCATGGAGAAGTCTACGAGTGAGGAGAGGTCACATGTGCGCAATCCTGTCCAAAGTCTCAGTCACCTTCCTATTCCAAACGTTGACCAAGAGCTCAGCTGGACTACACAGTAGATCTGCAATTATAACCCCCAGCTCCTTCTGGAACCAATGTAATAGGTCTTGATGGTTCTTTGGAGAACATGGCATTTGTCTTCTTGGTGTCTGTTTCTCTGGTGTATCTCCTTGGCCTGATAGCTAAAGCTGAGCCTTTTTAAGCCATCTATAGCTTCATCTCTAGTAGGGATTCTTGCGAGGGCTCTATTAGCATCTTCTAGCATACTATCTTATAGTATTTCTCTACCGAACGTATACTCTGTGTGTGTGTGTCTGTCTGTACACACACACACACACATACACACACATATATATATATACAGAGAGAGAGAGAGAGACAGACAGACAGACAGAGACAGAGACAAAGAGACAGAGACAGAGAGATAAGTTTTGATTGGAAGAAAGTAAAGCATTTAAATGAGGAATGAAAGCATTAGTGAAAAATTAGATTAGCATGACCAGAGTAAGAGATCAAAAATATAAATCATTCATAGAGAATCAATACCATTCAACATAAGGTTAAGCATAATTAAGCCTTTTGTGGACTTAAAAGTTTGTATCTTCTCCATATTAAATTGTGTCCTTTGTTTTCTGGTCTCCTTATCGAAGGGGATATTTTTTTTATCCCTAGTTTCATAGTTTGCTCTAAGATTATAACAAATGAAAATGCTAAACTTTTATTGTCTCTCTTTTCAGTGTATACAATTTATTATAAGACATATTTACAGTGGATTGAAATGGTTGTTGCTGAATATAAAAGGTATTATTATGTCTTCCAGTTAATCATAGTTGTCCTGACAATCAATTTAAATGCCATAATAACAGATGCATCCCTAAGAGATGGCTTTGTGATGGAGCAAATGATTGTGGTAATAATGAAGATGAATCAAATGAGACTTGTGCAGGTAAAAAGAAACAACAAAACAAATCAAGCATATTTCCTGGTGATTATGTTTGATCTTAAGCCTCTGTTGAATATGTTCGGATCTAAAATTTTGGTTTGAAGTAAACCAAGCCATTACTGTTTACCATCAATTTTAAATAAAATGAGCTTGTTTCTAATATGGGTGCTGTTTTACTTAATCTTGTTAATTGGCTCTACTTTACTAAGTAGTTTCACCTGTCCATATGGACTAACAAATTATTGGTCTAGTAGAAGCATATGCTTTTCTCCGCTCTGCACTCCCTTCTGGAGTTTGACATTTAGCAGGTATGTTGTGAGATACTGTTATGAATCAAGCCATAGATTAATTGCCATATAAACTTTTGGTAATGAAAAGACCTAATAATTATTGACCATATTCTCTCTGTATAACACATTTTAATCTTGGCAGCTCTGCAGAATAACATGCACAGGCAAGAGATTTCCAGGCTAGAGGTGGTAGTTATGGAAACACTCAGTAATTGGTTGGCCTCATTGGAAGGACGGGGAAAAAAATCTATAGATTTAACAAAATGTAATTTTAAGAGAAAGCCAGTTTGGTTAAGGTATCAGGCTACAAACTGGGAGAATGTGAATTCTAGTCCTTCCTTAGGTACCAAGCTAGCTGGGTGACATTGGGCCAGTCACTCTAAGCCCTTGGAAGAGGCAATGGCAAAATATTTCTGAAAAACCTTGCCAAGAAAACTGTGGGGACTAGACCATGTAGTTTTCAGGAGTCAAAACTGATTTTAAGGCATTATTATTATTATTATTATTATTTTAAAAGAGGGAAAATTGAATGGAAAGCTGAATATTTTATTTGGCTTCATTTTTGTTGCAATAAAAATTATTATCTAGCTGAACTGTGACCATGACACATCTATCAAGTCTTACCTAAGAGCTAAATTAAACTGAGATCTTGCTGAGCCTTGCTCTGAGAAACCTGAGAGTACTTCCTAATCAGTGCCAATGAGATGGCCCTGCTCACTGTGTCCTTATGAGGGAACGCTGTGGCACAATGGCTTAATAACAATAGAACTGCTGGCCAGAACTGGTCTGCACTACAGCGGTTCAAGCCCAGCTCTGTGAGACAAGATAAGCCCCCTTCTACCCAGCAGTTTGAAAGCATGGAATATTGCAAGTAGATAAATGGGTACCACTTCAGTGGGGAAAACTTAATTGCAGGGAGGCAGCATTGGACCTGGCTAGATATGAGGCAATGCAGCACAAGGAGAAATGCAACTGGCAGAGGAGCCCAGAAGAGCCAGCAACCTGAGTGCCACTAGTCAGCTGGTGTAAGGTAGTTCGCCCACCCACACCCATCCCCGTAGTGCACCTAGGATAGGCATTCAAGGGCTGAACAAAATGAACTAGCAATTTAGGACTGCATTGTGTCTAGCATTTGTAAATTTCCCTAACATTGTATGACATGTGATAAATAAATAAATAAAGTGAGTGAGTGAGTGGGTGAATAAGTAAATGAAGAACTCTGATGGTGTCTATTCACATTTTTTATTGTATTTTCCCACTATTTCCTGAATTCCTTTCAATTTAGCATTTTCATTGTTGATGAGAGGATTTTTATTTTTTGTTAAAAATATAAGGATTCCCAAGCTTATTAAGACTAGATAATTAAGATATAATCTTAAACTTCCTCCTGCTGTTTTATTCAAGACATAAGAGAATCAAGCTTGTTAATTAAGATTTTTTAGTTCCTTCTAGTTATCATATAATTATAAATTGTTGGATCTTGGAAAGTATCTAGTCCAACCCACTACTCTAATGCTATCCACCAGATAGCCATGTACCCTTTCTTTAAATATTTTCAGTGAAGTAGGTCCTTTTGTCTACTGAGGCAGATTCTTCCCTTGTTGAATAATTCTAACTGTTAAAAAAGCTTCATGATTTACCAACAAAGACGAAATCACTTGTTTCTTGTTATGCATTCTGGAACAACTCTGAACAATTCTGTTTTGGCAGTTCCTATTTTTGAAGGCAATCATCATATCTCTCTGCAGTCTTTTTTCCCCCCCTGTAGGCTACATACCTCTGAAACTGTTTATAAGTTTATAGGCTTTTCCTGCTTTTTCTTCTTGGTTGCTCTCCACTATACTAGCTCCAGTTTATCAATATCCTTCCTAAATTATGATATCAAGAAGTGGATGCAATCCAGGCACTGCATGAGCAACAGCAACAGAGAGGAGCATTAAGTGTCTTGGTTTTAACAATATTTTTCTGTTGATTCAGTACAAAACTGCATTTGCTTTTATTTGCAGTTACACTCATTGTTGTCTCATAATTCAACTTGTGCTTCACCAAGACAACCAGATTTTTTTTTACATGTATTGTTGTCCTGTGTAGTTCCTTTCAGCCTATACTCATGTCTGTGTTTTTTTCTTACCCAAGTGAAGGGCTTTACATTTTCCCCCTCTTAAAATGTATATTTCATGGTTTTTTCTCATTGTTCCAGTTTGATATTCAGTGCTAACCTGTAAGGCAGACATTCTCAACAGAGACAATTATTTAAAGGGTTCCTCAAGGATATAAAGATTAAAAAACAAAGCTATTCTAATGTACTTAATATCCCCCCAGTTTTGTATCATCTGAAAATATCTCCTTTTTTTGTAGGAAAAATATTTCTATATCCTTCCAATTCACTTTTATTTTGTTAGTATGCTTATAGTATATCATTCATTCATTCATTGTCTTATTTTCTTCTGTTCAATCATGTCTGATTGTCAAAGACTGCCTGGACAAATCCTTGCACTTTTTCCTGGGAAGGTTTTTTTTTTTTTTAAAAAAAAAAAATAAGGTTTTCCATTGCCTCCTTCCTAGATCTGAGAGAAGGTGACCACTACACCAAATTGGCTCTCTATATAGAGACATTGAGAAAGAGGAAGAAAGGAAGAGGAAGAGATCGAAGTGACATTTTAATGTTGAAATTTTAATAAATCTTCAAAAAAAATATAATTGATTTATTCAGTATATGTATTTGTAATATATATATTTGACATGGCATTTAAAAAAGCTTATAGCATATAAAATTGCAACAAAATGTACAGTGCATGACATATATGTATGTCATGTCTTTTCCCATGTAAGATTGAGAGTATCTTGGTGACGTTTTGATGAGGTCCCACTTGCCATCTTCAGGCTGGTGCTTTCAGCTTCGGGCTTGTGCGAGCAAAGCGTGATCGGAGCTGCCATCTCTCTATAAATACTGGTGGGGAGGTGTGGTGTGCTGGCTTTGTTGTAAGTGGGCTGGTTGGCTGTGTTATTATTTCTTGATTGGTTGATGGAGTTGATGTTTGCAGATTGGTTGGCTTTTTCATAAGAACCTGTGTGGCTGAGGTGCTGGATGTATGTCTGTCAGCCTCCTGTGTTGTAACAACCTGGGTAATGGGCTGTGTGATGACCTTCTGAGTTCTATTGTTGCGACATCCCGGGTCTTGTGCTGTAATCTCTTGGGTCGTTGGCTATATTGTAACATCCTGAGGTTTTGTGGTGTAACCTCCTGACTTCCGTGATGTGATATCCTGAGCGGGTGGCTGTGATGTAACGTTCCAGGTTTTGGTTTGGTTCCGAGTTTGAGGTCTGGCTATGTGTTCATGGCATGTGTCAGTTTGTTTGGTTTGGGGATCGGGGGGTGCGGTACCTGGTGATGCAGCCGTGGTCTGGTTTATAGACGGTGGTTGCCTTTCGTCTGTGGAATGGGTTTGGGTTTGAGTCTGGTGAGGGAGATTGGTGGTAGCGTCATTTGTTATTTTGGGTCCAGTGTTGGTTTTCGTGGCTGGGACTCATTTGTTGATAAGGGCTAGTTTCCAGATGTCTGGTAGGTGGGAGGTATCGTCCCGTTTATTCATTTTATGGGGGTGTTTCTCTATTTCAATGGCTTCCCTGATTATTCTCTTGTTGAAGTGTTCAGTATTGGAGATTAATTTGGTTCTCTCAAAATTAATTCCATGTCCTGTGGCTTTAAGGTGCTGGAAAAGGGAGGAGGTATTTTCTTCTTTTCCTACTGCGTTCTTGTGTTCTCCGATGCCTGCATTTATTCTCCTGTTGGTTTGTCCAATGTATGTGGCTGGGCAATTGTTGCATCGTATTTCATAAACTCCTTGGTTTTCTAGCTGGATCTTGTCCTTGGGGTTTCTTAGGATGTTGGCTATTTTTTGGTCAGTACCGAAGGCTATCCTGTTATTGTGTTTGTGGAGAATTTTGCTGATTTTGTCTGTGGTGCCTTTGATGTAGGGGAGGAGGGCGATACCATTGTCCTGTTCTGTGTCTTGGTTTTTTGGGGGTGTCTTCCTTAGGATTAGGTTGGTAATTGTGTTTCTTTGGAATCCTTTGGAAATTAATATGTTAGTGAGGGTGTGTAATTCTGTTCTCAGGTAGTATTTGTTTGCTAGGCGTTTGGTTCTGCAGATAAGGGTCTTGGCTACAGAGTTGATCTGTGCAGGGTGGTGATGGGATTGTGTATTTAAGTAGCAGTTGGTGTGTGTTTTCTTCCAGTGGATGGTGTGGGTTTTTTGGTTTTTTTGTAAATTAGGATGTCCAGGAAGGGAAGTTGGTTGTTGACTTCTGGTTCCATGGTGAATTGTATTTTGGGGTGTAGGCTGTTGAGGTGTGTGAGGAAGTTGTCCAGTTTTTCTTTCCCATGTGGCCAAATTACAAAAGTGTCATCTACATATCTAAGCCAGAGTTTGGGTTTGTGTTCGGATTTGTCTAGAGTGTTGGTTTCAAAGTGTTCCATGTATAGGTTAGCGATGATGGGTGAGAGGGGTGATCTCATAGGTGCTCCTTTTATCTGTTTGTATCTTTGTCCATTGTGGATGAAGTGTGTGTTGGTTAGGCAGTGGTTGGTCAGATCTAGGATGTGCTTAAGGGGTTGTATTTATTTTGGATAACTGTCAAGGCTTCTTTAATAGGTACTTGGGTGAAGAGGGATATGACATCGAAGCTCACAAGTAGGTCGCTGGGTTGTAGGTTTTGTTTCTTTATTGTTTCTATGAAGTGGAAAGAGTTTTGTGTGAGGTGATGGATTCTGTGTAGGGCCGGAGTTGTTTGGCGAGATATTTGGCAAGATTCTGTAGAGGTGAGCCTATGGAGTAGAATATGTGTCTGAGTGGTGTTCCTTCTTTGTGTATCTTGGGGAGGCATACAGCCAGCACCTCAGCCACACAGGTTCTTATGAAAAAGCCAACCAATCTGCAAACATCAACTCCATCAACCAATCAAGAAATAACAACACAGCCAAACAGCCCGCTTACAACAGAGCCAGCACACCACACCTCCCCACCAGCATTTATAGAGAGACGGCAGCTCCGATCACACTTTGCTCACACAAGCATGAAGCCAAAAGCACCAGTCTGAAAATGGTGACTGGGACCTCATCAAAACGTCACCAAAGTACTCTCAATCTTACACGGGAAAAGACCTGAACATGCCAAAACCTACATACCTGTACCCGTGAAAATCTACGAAAATATATATGTGTGTGTGTGTGTGTGTTTGTGTGTGTGGTATTTAGCTTTGTTCGGGAAGCTAGGTTTCATCTTATCAGAGAAGCCATAGAGATTGACAAAAGACCTGAAAGCATGAATAGAAGAGATGACTCCACCAGACTGTCAATTATCTGGAAGCCTGCACTCACAAACAAAAAATTCTCCACACTACTAGCCAAGCAAACACCTGGGCATAAACAGACCCTCCCGATACCTCCAGCTCAAACACACCCCAACCAGCCACCCAGAAGAAACCTAGCTTCCATTCACCCAAAGCCAAGCCGCACTAAAAGCCCCCAATACAGGAAACACTATGTTGCCAATCAAGACAAAAAAACACTACAAAACAGACAGAAGATATTAGAAACACCAATCAAGCAGAACACAGCAAACTCCAAGACCAATAAACACAGACCAAGACTCCCAACCAATTAGGATGAAGAAAAAACCGTTCTAACACAGCAGGAGGCTAGCACCAAATTTAAAACAGAAATGTCTATGAAAGCCTGACTCACAGACGAACTCAGTACACAAGCCTGATGATGGCAGATGAGATTCTGCCGAAACGTCACTACAACTTTAAAAGCACAACTATAATGACGTGGGAAAATACCCGAACAAAGCTGAATACCATACTTATAATTACCCAGATATGAAATATGAATGACTCAAGGAGATTTTATTTGACCTCCAATCTGTAATTTTAATATTAATTTATCATTCAAGCAAGAGTATGTCAAGTAGATCAGTTTTCCTGTGGGAATGGACGCTGCATTCCACGTTCATGGTTGTGTGATCAAGAGGATGATTGTGGTGACCAGTCAGATGAAACAGCAACTTGTGGTAAGTTGAATCACAGACTTTATAAATAGAATATTTGATTCATATAAGAAATTATTTTGTAATTTGATAGTACTCATGACAAGCCACGTAGCTTACAAGCCACGTAGCTTGTTGTCTTAAATATTAAAGTCCTCTAGGAATGGGTATCATGCTCCCAGTATTTAGGCAACAGATGATTAGACAAATAGGTTACATCAATTCTTTCATAAAATAAATACTACCACTTTCCTGTTTATAATTCAGTATTATTCATTTGTTTGTTTTTTGGACACACCAACAACTTGACAAACTATATAAATCAAACACGTGAGATATAGAATGATTTTATTCAAAATAGATTAAAATGCAATCTTATATTATTGAGAAGAAACAATTAAGAAAACTTTTTATTACTCCCTTTCAGGTACTTTTTTTTAAACAACAACAACCAAAAGGATAATGTCTCTTCTTCCACGTGCACTTATATCTTCCTTTCATTAAGTAGTTTAGCAAAATAATAAAATAAAATAAGCAGGGAATGATTAGAAATAATTCATTTTAGCAAATGATGGTGGTGGTGCTTGGGAATTAGGGAAGAAGGGGTAAAGTGTCCTAAAATGAATGTAGAAGCACAGGAACATTTCAGAAACAGAATGAAAACTTGTCTCCTATTGTTAAGAAGAATTTTATTTGACAAGAATATAAAGTCACAGCTGCAGACAGGAAGAGAAGGATAAGGAAAATAAAAAGATTAGAAATTTAATCTTTAGAAAAAGATTAGAAATTTATTAATGCCAATCAATGTTATAAAAAGTTTGTAAAATAAAGCTAAATAAAATAGTAATACTAAATAAAAAGTGAGGTATAGAAGCCAAATCTGGAAATTTCTGCTGCTGCCAAATCCTACAAAGAGTTTATGTCTGTAAAGCTATGGAATTGTGATGTTATGTTATTATTTCTGTACTATATAAACTTGTACTGCATGTGGATCTTGCTGGAAATCAATATGCTTCTATAAATTTTTGTGATTATAACTGCCTTTGGCATGAAAACTAGACTGTTCTGGCTTCTGCAATGTGACCATTTTATAGTCACTAGCCACAGATGGGGTTTGTTAATCTTCTCTCCTTAGCAAGCTCAGCTGCACTGACTTCACTAGGAAAGAAAAAGTGATAAGAATTTAAATATATGTGGAATGCAACCCATCTTCCTTAACTCTATGGCCTCAAAATATCTAAGGTAGTTCATAAATTATATGTGCAATGGAACAACATATTAATTCAACTGCAATGAAACCACATATTAATTCAACTGTTATGATTACTCTTTTGATATGCAAGTCTATACCCTTTTTAGTTCTTCCTTTCCTCATCTGGTCTCTTACAGGCACAGTGCTGACAGCAGAGGGATGACTATTGGTTTAGCTCTTATGATAGAAAAGCTAGTATGGTTCCTCTCTTGGGATCTATAAGATTAGCAGAAATTCTTAATTTGGCTTCTTAGCTTTGTTATGGGAAAATGATTGACTATTATTAATGACAATCTAAATTAAGTCCCCTTCATATTTGTCTTCTTTCCTCAAAAAAACAAGAACACCCAAACCCTAAGCTTAATAAGGTGGTATAAAGTTACTAAGCTGAATATGTCTTAACATATAGCGTTCACGTGCCATAAAAATGAGGGGGGGGAAATGCTACTGTGGCCATAAAATCTATCTACACCTCTAATTTAGGGAGAGAAAAACAGCAGGATTAAAAGGATTAAAATCACTGTTAAATGGTCTTTTATCCTTTTCAAGTTGATATTCTGTTTTTTATCACCTATATTGCATCAAATCTTGTGAAAAATAGCAGTTAAGCCACATGTTTTTATACATTTTGAAAATCATGTAATTGTTCTGATGCACCATCATTTTGGGGGTCTTTCTGTTAAAAGCTGAGCATTCTCTCTGTCTCTCTCTCACACATATGTATATATACAGTATATATAGTATAAGTATAGTATATGTACTCTGTGTGTGTGTGTGTGTGTGTGTACATATACATATACATACACAGAAACACCCACATACATACATACTGAGCCACGGTGGCGCAGTGGTCAGAGTGCAGTACTGCAGGCTACTTCAGCTGACTGGCAGATCGAATCTCACCAGGCTCAAGGTTGACTCAGCCTTCCATCCTTCCGAGGTGGGTAAAATGAGGACCCAGATTGTTGGGGGCAATATGCTGACTCTGTAAACCACTTAGAGAGGGATGTAAAGCACTGTGAAGCAGTATATAAGTCTAAGTGCTATTGCTACATGTAATTTTATTACACTTGTCTCCCACCCAACTCTTAACGACTCTGGGTGGCTTACAGCAATCACATAAATTACAATAAAGTCAATAAAACGTTAAACAATAGCAAGCCAATAGCAATCTTGCTAAAGGCCTGGGTGAAGACCTGTCTTCTAAACAACAACAGATTTCTGGGGTCCCTATAGATAATATTGTTTTATCAAAGGAACCTGGTGCAGCCCAACCTTGCAGGAGCAAATTGGCCAGGCAAATGCTATGGGAGAAATGAGAAACTCAAGTAAAGTGAGCCTACGCCACATATAGATTTATAGGTAACAATAACCAGCACTTTGAATTGCAGCCAGAAGCAAAGTGGCAGCCGGTGCAGTTTGCAAAGCTGATATTCCATTAATACTCATGCTGCTTCCTTCTCTATCTGCTTCTTCACATTCTGGAGGTGTTAGGGAACCATACCATTATCACATACATAACGCATTATCAAATTAGCCCTGTTTTATTAATAGAACAAAAAGATCTAAATGCTGTTGATGCATAAGTGATCTCTGCTTCTGACATTTTTTAAAATGAAACATGTCAGAAGTGATAATATTGCTTTACATGGTCAGCTGTTGGAATATATTAATCCTTTCCTCTCTCGTGTTTCTTTCTTTTCTAGTCTTCCTTATTTTTCTCTCCTCTCTATTACACACAATATAGCCTAGCTTTCTTTCCCTGGTTGCTGAAGTATTTCCTTTGGGGCTTATTGATCCATATTGTCAACAGAATATTTTAAACATACTTTAAAGGGCAATATTTGTAGCTCAAGACTGAAATGAGGGATCTTTATAACACTAGCACCGATGATGTAATCTACTTTGGGTAATGAAACCTCTTAAAGAAAGCAACCAAATTCAGAGAGCACCAAGGACTCCTTAAAGACACTTTAATTAAACAGCTAATAATAAAGCAGACCAGCATGTTCCAAAGCAAAGTATCAAGCTCAAGGATGGTATACTTTTTTCAAGAATGCTTCTGGCTTCCACATAGAGAACAGAAATACTATAGTTTTTTTTTTTTTTACAATAAACAAAAACAGAGAGAGCGGGGTGGGGGAGAGGGGGAAAGACAGGATGGCTGCCTGAGAGTGGGTGTTGGTAGAAGTTACCCTGAACGCCCTTTCTATCTATGCTGCGAGAGAGCCCAGGATGGGTTGACTCCTTCCTATGACATCATTTAGCTGAGTCTGTACTAAGATATAAAAGCCAGCCCTCGGAAGAGACCCCAGCTTTGGCGAAGATACTTGACAGACTGAAAGGTGTCTCTGAAAGTACAAATGAATAAAAGAAATATGACTTACCCTCTCCGGATGAATCAACGAAGGGGCTGGGCTCTCTCGCAGCATAGATAGAAAGGGCGTTCAGGGTAACTTCTACCAACACCCATTCTCCTCCATGCTGCATCGAGAGCCCAGGATGGGACATACCAAAGCCTGCATGTCCATGGGTGGGTCCTCGTCCGGCTCATCACACTGACTGTTGAACCACTCGTTGAAGCACCCGTCTGCCGAAGGCTGCAGTTGCCGAGACAAAGACATCCAGATGGTAGCATCTGATGAAAGGAGACGGAGATGTCCACGTGGCCGCACGACAGATCTCTTCCAAGGGTGCTTGGGTCGCCCAGGCAGCTGAAGTGACCGTGTTTCTGGTAGAGTGCGCCATCAGACCTCGAGGAACCAGAAAGGCCTCAGCTTTGTAGGCCTGCTCAATGCAAGATCTGACCCACCTGCTAATAGTAGGAGAAGAGGCCTTGTGCCCCAAGTGAGAAGGGAAAAGGAAACAAAATTGCTTCAGACTTCCTGAAGGAAGAAGTGCGCTTAATGTATATTCTAAGAGCCCTACTTATGTCTAGCGAGTGCCACTGCTGCTCTAAGTCATGGTTCGGGAAAGGGCAGAAGCCAGGCAACATAATGTCCTTGGACTTGTGAAACAGGTGTTAACCCTTGGAATAAATGAGGGGTCCAGACTGAGGACAACCCTATCATCGTGAAAGGAACAAAGGTCCTGTCTGATGGAAAGAGCAGCGAGCTCGGATACCCGCCTGGCTGAAGTGATGGAAACGGGGAACACTACCTTCAGAGTCAGGAAACGGAGAGTCAATGTTCTAAGGGGTTCAAAAGGGGGCTTTGTAAGGGCATAAAGGACCACATGAAGATCCCAGGAAGGATACCTGTGAACTACTGGAGGGTGCAGTAGCCCCTTTCAAAAACCTCCTGACTGAAGGGTGATGGGATAAGGAAGGAAACGAACCCCATGAAAGAACCGAGGAGAGGGCCTCAACCTGCCTGCGTAAGGTGTTGGGGGCCAAACCTTTCTCCAGATCATGCTGAAGGAATCTAAGAACCTCTGCCAACTGGGCTAAAGCGGGAGAGAGAGACCCTCCCTAAGGCACCATCGGGAAGGGCCTTCCAGGTGGCATCATAGATGTCCCTTGTGGGAGGTTTGCAAGATGCCAGGATAGTGATGATGACCCTTTCAGGAAGATCAGCCACCTCTAGCCGCTGCCGCTCAAGTGCCACATGGTCAGCTTGAGCCACTGGGGCTCCAGGTGGAGCAGAATCCCCTGATGAAGGGAGATTAGATGGGCTGGGATCCTCCAAGGAGAAGCCACTGACAGGTTGACCAGGTCCGCAAACCAGGGCGTCCTTGGCCAATAGGGTGCCAGGAGGAGGAGCTCCGCTCATTC